AAATATTATTTGGAAAATCTTATTGAAATAGACATCGTTATCGATACAGAGGCCGAATCTATAGTTTTTAGAATTTTTGTCTGTCTGTCTGTCTGTTACCGCATCACGAAAAAACCACTGGACAGATTTTAATGAAATTTGGTATGATGATAGCTGGTTATCTGGGTCAACATATAGAATACTTTTTACCGCGGGAAAATATCTCATTTCTGAGAAAAAATACAAAAACTGCATTGTAAGAGTATATTAATATGTAAAACCTAAGAATTTGGTTTTTGGTCATCTGAACGCGGGCGGAGCCGCGGGCAATGCTAGTCAATAAATAAAATAATTCAGAACGTTGTTATAATCTTACTGGCTAATTTTGGTTATCCATATTATAGATAAAAAAAATTGAAGTGTCTATTTGTAATGTCAAAATAATAGCTTTTTACTAAATTGATATGAAATTTTATACGGTACATATAAGAAAAAACATTCTTTTAAATTTTTGTCTGTCTGTATTTTTATTTTGGCTAATCTCCGAAACGGCTGGACTGATTTTGACGGGTCTTTCACTGGCAGATAGCCGATGTTATAAGGAGTAACTTAGTCTACTTTAAAGTTTCCCTCAAAAAAAAAATGTACTCGCGTGTAAAGGGACGCACCCGAGCGAAGCAAAAGCAAATCGCTAGTATTTTGATAAGAATACTTAAATTACAGATTTGTATAGTCAAAAATGTAAACAAACATATTAAAAATTGAATTATCTAAATCTTAAGTCCATAATTTAGCTATGAATGCCAAAAGATTATACCTGATCATATTCTTTTGGGTGTTGAAAGCATGGCTCAGAGGCATTTTACGTCGTTTTATAAATCAGTAATATCATAAAACTCTAATACAAAAGCTAAAACTTAAAATAAAACCGTATTAGAATGATAATTGTATAAAAATTAATAAGATAATAAATAAAACATACCATTTGTTGAAGTCTCACTTGAAATATTTAGATCAAAATAAACACTTTCCTCACAAAACAAAGACACGTCTGTATCCGACCACGGTCATGTGGAAAATGCCAAGCGAAATCGATTTTCCGAGCCAAAGCTAAGTTAGACAAGGACGGATGTATCTAAAATGTATCGCGTTAGAGAGAGACGATAAATGCATATGTGTGTGTTGCATTGAACCCTTGGAAACAGGGTGATTTGCTCCCTTACTACATGTTTTCGAAAAGTATGTATTTTTTTAGTTTACTTTTTAAATGTATAGATTTTGTTTTAGTAAATCAAGCATTTTTCAATATAAGTATGGAATTTTTAGGATTCCGTACGCGAAGGGTGCCAACGGAACCCTATTACTAAGCCTTCGCTGTTCGACCGTCCGTCTGTTAGGGACATGTATCTCATAAACCGTAATAGGTAGAGAGTTGAAATTTTCACAGAGTGTGTATTTCTATTGCCGCTATAACAAATATATAATAAAAAACCAAGGTGGCTAATTTCAAAAAGGCTGCAATGCAAATTAAAAAAAGTCGATTATGGTACGGAACCTTTCGTGTGCGAGTCCCAAAAAATACCCAAATATTTTTGTTTTTTTTACAAGATTATCTACCTTAGGAAGTTTTAACTATTGTAAATGCGAAAGTTTGTCTGTTTGTATGTTTATTACTCTTTCAAGCTAAAACGGCTGGACGAATTTTAATGAAATTTACTACACAGATTGACTATAATCTTATTTTTTAATGTTGGGAAATGCATTTACGCATGTATACAGATGTTTATATGGGACTCACTGTCTGGAAAAGTAGTACCCACTAAAACCCTATAAAAACTCCCCCTTCTTAATGAGATGTCGCAGGGTCCCTTACACACTCGACTACGACGCCCCAACGCGACGGCAGGTCTACCGAAGCAGACCACACAACCAATGGGCTGCTCTTCCGGTCTACTCTGCTGAAAAGTACCAGGAGCAACCCGTATGGCACACCGCTAAGCGAAATATCAACCTTCCAGTGTGTTTTGGCTTCATGCCCGGCTTGGTTGCCAGACGCTAATAACCTCCCCACCACGAATACATCGGGGACAGGAGGTAGATTATGACCTGGAGTCACACATAGACTGCAAAATGTCCCTAAGGACATATCCAGGCAAAGCAAGGAAAAGTACCAAGTAAATAAAAAGTGTCAAATAAATTAATTCTTTCTATAAAATTCAAATCAGTTTACCAATAAAAAACCAAATGAGAACTTATAGTAGGTAAAAAAAATGTTTTCTCAGTAGTTTCCTAGTACCAGATAACTAGAGCAGTGGGGTTTTTAGGGATGCTGCTTCTTAGCGATCTTTCGCGACGTGAAATGACAATGTTGATCAATATTTTATCATAATTTTTGCAATCTATACTAATATTATACATGCGAAAGCTCTGTTTGTTTGTTTATTTGTTTGTTACCTTTCACGACTAAACGTCTGAACCGATTTAGATGAAAATTGGTATAGAGATAGTTTAAGACCCAAGGAAGGACGTAGGATAGTTTTTACCCCGGAAATCATCTCTTAAGGGGGTGGATAAAGGGAGTGGAACGGGGAATAAATTATTTCTCAAGTGAGGCATATAAAACTTATCATAGTTCATTCTGTATATATTTGTAGTCCATATTATCCGTCAAAACGTACTTAGGGAAGAAGCCGAGCGAAGCGATGGTGAGTCACTAGTTAAAAATGTGTTTTTACACTGATTACACTGACGCTCTTTAAAATAAATTGACGCTTCAAAAGTGTTTATAATAAGTCTATTTGAATAAAGTTTCATTTCAACTTCTAAGTAACTATTTTAAGCCAGAATTGAATTGTTAGATAAGTGAAATTCTATGTCTTGATTTTTTTGGGGTTCCGATGTATATCTAACCGTCGCGTTAATTTATTAGTAGTTTAAAAAATCGGTCAAGTGCGAATTGAAGTGAAATTCGCCCACGAAGGGTTCCGTACCATGTTACATGTACTTTTTATTAATACGACTTTTACTCTATATATGTAGTATATTCACATAGATGATCGATTACGAACGTTAAAATTTTTTTCTTGTATTTTTTATTTTTTTATTTTTATTATTTGTTGTTAAGCGGCAATAGACAAACATACTTGTGAAAATTTCAACTCTCGGACGGACAGCGAAGGCTTAGTAATAGGGTTCCGTTGGCAACTTTCGGGTATGAAACCCCAAAATCAGTTAATCTATACTAATGTCTCAAACTAAGGAGTAATATAGACATACTGTCATAAAACTGGCCTAAGGCCAGCGTAGTGTACTATGGCCTAATCCCCGATTATTGAAGGGAGGCCCACCACCCGCAGTGGGGAATAAAAAGGGCTGAATACATTATTTCAAAGGTAAATTATATATTTTTTAATACGTACCTTTATATTCAAAATAAAAAAATTAAAAAACTAGGTATCTATTTTTTTTTTATTTGTATGAAGTATTTTACCAAAGGTGAATTCGAACTGTAGGATCTGCCTATAACAGGTACAATTTCCGTGTTCAGATCTCGAGGGATTATTGAAAGGGTTCAAAAGGGTTTTCTCTCATAATTTCCCCTTCATATAGGATATTACGTTTAATTAATAGACCTAGTGCAGTCAAAGCTCGTGTGTTTATGTCACAAGTTACGTATTCGATTCTCGACCAACTCTATTATATGCAAAATCTACACTAATATTATAAAGAGGTAAATTGTATTATTGTTTTATTGAATCATTTATTTCAGGCAATATTTACAAAAGGATCCTAAATATGTAAACAGAGGCCCATAGCATATATACCTTAAAACTAAAGTTTGTGAGTTTATATGTAAAGGTTAATCTCCGAAACTACTCATCCGATACTGAAAATTCTTTCACTAATATGAAGCTACGTTACCGCCGAGTGTTATAGACTATTTTTTTATTTGGATAAAAATGTATTTATTGGTAGAAATTATAATTAAAAAAATGGCCGTTGAAGTACTTTTGTTTAGGCACCTAAGGATGCATTTGTACTGTACTACCTAGTTATAGACGGCGCTTTTTCACTTTATGAGCTATTTACTAATGTTAAAAATGCTAAAATCGACGGAAATTAATCTTAAAGTCATTCTTATAACATAACGTCAACTTATATTTAAAATCTAATAAGCCGCTAAGCTTCACAGCGTGGTAAAAGTCACATCCTCCTAATATTATAAAAATGAAAGTTTTATGAAAATGCTACTGCAAACAAGCTAACGTTATTTGATGAAAGCAAAGCATATATATTCTTTGGATTTAATGAACACAAATCAATACGACTTATTAAAAAAAGAACTGGAATAATGAAAAAAATAATTTTAAAATAGTATCCATACTAATATTATAAATGTGAAAGTGTTGTTTATTTGTCCTTTACGAAGTGACGGATTGGCGTGATTTCTTATGCTGATCTCAACACAGATATGTATAGAGATAGTTGGAGAGCTGGAAAGTGACATAGACTATTATTTACCGCGGGAGATTATCTAATTCCCACGGGAAATCACTTTATAATACAATCAGAAAAAATATTTATGATCAGAATTACTTGATACTTGATATTAATGCTTTTCAATATAATTAAATAAATATGTGTATTAGCATTTTTCGAAATTCATCCCTTATGGGGTAAAATATGGGACGAAAGTTTGTATGAAACCAACCTTTTTAATATTTTTTTGTAGTTTTAGCGCGAGCGGAGCCAGCCGCGATTTCTGCTAGTAATAAATAAAATATGTATAGTATGCAATATTGAGTAAAAAGGTTTATTATATTTTTATTAATATTTTTTAAAAATTTTAATTAAATCCTGTTTCCAGTTTCCAAACAAAATCGCAACTATCAAAATTGCAATTTGCAACTCGGCAACTGACATTATATTGTTTGACATTTCTTCTAACAAGCGCGTTCGGCGATTGTTAATTTCGTATTTTCTGTGTTATTTCAACGTGATATTAGATTTTAATTATAAAAATGGCTGTGAGTATACTAAAATGAAATATTTAATAAATTTCTTGTGTTATTAACAATAATGCGTAAATGCTACGCAACTTTGTCGAGACTAACCTCAAAATTTATATGTATTGGTTCAAATTCGTTTGTTTTTTTCTTACTTTTAATATCATATCTTTTGATTTTATTAATTTAACAATGTAATTTCAGTCGCTAGCAGCAGCTCAAGTTCAAGAAGTACGGTCCATAACGCGTATAGAACGTATTGGCGCACATTCTCACATACGCGGGTTAGGTTTAGATGATGCTTTGGAACCTAGAGCTATATCTCAAGGCATGGTGGGTCAAAAAATGGCGAGAAAAGCCGCTGGCGTCATATTACAGATGATTCGAGAAGGTAATGATCAAACTGTTGTCATAGTAACATTATGTTTATGCTTATAAAATATGGGGATTTCCCTTTCATAATTATATTTGTTACAAATGTCATTCATAAAGAAATAATAAATAGTAATAGTATTTGTAGATTTATTTTCTTCTTTTTAGTGCATTAAAATAAAACCTTGTTTTAAATAAAAAAATGTTTCTTTTTGCTATTTATTTATTTATGTAATCTTTTTTGAATTGCATGAACATGTAAGATTTCAATTCTATAAGATAGGAAGAAGTGGTTTTAATTCAAAAACTTGCTTCATTGTATACATTTGTGCTATCCGTAGGCAAAATAGCAGGCAGAGCAGTATTGCTAGCGGGTCAACCTGGTACTGGAAAGACAGCAATAGCCATGGGTCTTGCACAAGCGTTAGGTCCAGATACACCTTTCACTAGCATGGCGGGTGAGTCAGACTTTTTGAGTATATTTTTTGTGATCACTTATTGTAATTTACTTTACAAAATTTGTTTTCTAAGTCTTCTATAGAGGTCTCATATCATTTTTAAAGAGATATTTGATATCTAAGTATGAAATCAGTTTATTTAACTAATTTTGAAACTTAATATTTATTCTATACATGTAATAAAATTCTGATTTGAATCTGTACATAAAATATTTTTTGAAAAATCCTATTGAAATACTCATTATTATCAATACATATACCTAAACTGTTGTTTTTAAAATTTTTGTCTGTCTGTCTTGGAGTGCATCACGAGAAAACCACTGGACCGATTTTGATCAAAATTAGTATATAGATAGCTGGTTATCCGGGTCAACATATAAGATACTTTTTACTGCCGGAAAATATCTCTGAGAAATCTATACTAAACGTTAAAACTAGTGTACATATATATTTGGTTTTAGGATCTGAAATCTACTCACTTGAAATGAGCAAAACCGAAGCGTTAACACAAGCTATAAGAAAGTCGATAGGCATTCGCATTAAGTAAGTAATCATAATATATTAATATCTTGTATATTATAAATAAAAATGAATGTTTCTTTGTATATTTGGACTCTATACATTCCTAAATCATTGATCTAATAATTGTGATAAAAAATTTTTTATCTATTACAAACATACAAAAAAAAAATCTCTTTATAATATTGGTATAGCTTATATGAATATCATCATGATGAAGTCATCATGTCGCTTTTTGGCCGTCAATGTGCGCGCGCTTTGTAAAAATTTTATTCTCATATTTTTTTCTAAACGTGCCAAAAGAAGTAAAACTTCAATAAGCTTAACCTACATCAACTTATTATCTATTCAATGCTAAATTCAATTCTTCTTTTTGATTATTCTCTTTTTTACAGAGAAGAGTCAGAGATAATAGAAGGAGAAGTAGTAGAAGTTGTAATAGAGAGAGCAGTAGGTAGTGGTGGAGCGAGGACTGGACGCCTAACATTGAAGACCACAGATATGGAAACCAATTATGATATGGGGACTAAGATGATTGATTCGCTTTTAAAAGAAAAAGTAAGCATTGTTTTATTACATCTATATAATACTTATTATAAAAAAAATAATAGCTTATAACAAAAATATATTCTAGTACAATAAGTACTTTTTAAGTTATTTTAATTTTACTGTAATAATAATTAATAATCATATTAATTCTTATTATTTAATAAATAAAATTAATATCACAATTTCTGCTTAAACTATTAGATTAAATATCAAACGGGTAATCTTTGGCAATACTTGTTATATTTCGGTAATCATTTCTTCATTAATTAATGTTGTATTTCCTACATAGATAATTCATTGTATATATTTTAGGTACAAGCAGGTGATGTAATAACCATAGACAAAGCGACAGGGAAAATCAATAAGTTGGGACGTAGCTTTGCCAGAGCCCGAGATTATGATGCCACAGGTTATTGTTTTTTTTATCTGTACATTTGTTTTTTTTTCAGATTACCTTTAAGTAGGTTATTTTAATATTTAAGTAATCACAACACAATATATTACCATATATTGTGTTGTGATTTTCTTAATTGGAATCTTAAATATATTCATGGACTAGCGACTCACTCTTGCTTCGCTCGGGTTCGTACCTAGATGATTTTTTAAATTGACATAACTTTTTATTTATGAACCGATTGATATAAAACAAATACTAAATTTTAAGTGAAACTTATCACAATACATTAGTGAAAACCGCACCTAAATCGGTTAAGCTGTTTATGAAATTAGCGTGCACGCTTGTGAGTTGAGCCCGAATGTGTGTAGTGTTTATATTTATAATATGTATGTATTTAAAGTTATATATGTGTAGTGTATCAATTATCTGGTATTCATAACACAAGCCTCGTAACTTACCATGGAACTAGACGGTGCTGTGTTAATGTCCCAATGTGTGTGTATATATTTATTATTTATTTATAATTATCAGGACAGCAAGCCCGTTTCGTTCAATGTCCCGAGGGTGAATTGCAGAAGCGTAAAGAAGTGGTTCACACAGTCACCCTGCACGAGGTGGATGTTATTAATTCAAGGACACATGGCTTTCTCGCTTTGTTTTCTGGTAAGTTATAATAGACTTAATTGTAATTTACGTAGGGATCTCTAATTCTTATTAAAAAAAATCGGGTGGGGCTGTGTCTGGACATACCGCCGATGGTTTAACGTGAAACGTCTTATTTCCACGAGTCGCTTTTAGTGGTTTTTATAAATAATTTTCATATTTGAAAAAAATTCATACATATAATTTTTCAAACAATACGAGTAACAACGGTTACAATGGCAACCTAATGCAACCTATTTCATTAAGGTCCACTTTTTTGACCTGATATGATACAGGGTCTCAAACTATCTTCTTACCGAATTTAATCTAAATCGATTCAGAAGTTTCGGAGCCTATTCGATACAAACAGAAAAAAACAAACAAACAATAAAAATTTCTCCTCTTTATAATATTAGAATAGATAATAGAATAGCCAAATGATATCTTTACTTATGTTATTTTTTTAATTTATTATCTGTTCCTGTATCTAGTAATTTGAATTTAAAAAAAAATGTTTCACAGGTGATACAGGTGAAATCAAATCTGAAATTCGCGAACAGATAAACAGTAAAGTGGCCGAATGGAGAGAGGAAGGGAAAGCCGAGATGATACCGGGTGTTCTGTTTGTTGATGAAGTAAATGATTTTTTTTATTATTACTGGTCTATTTAAGTTTTAATGTTTGTTTGGTAGTTTGTGTGTGTGTGTAATTGCGTTAATTACCGCGACAAAATCCGAAAAGATAGGTTTATTTAGAATATCAAATATTCGCTGTAGGCGACTTTTTATATTTAAATAAATCTTTTTATGAAATGAGAAAAAACTATATGTACATTGTAAATTAAAAATTGTAACAATATTTTTAGGATCACATGAAAATGTCTATACTTTTGGTTAATTTGAGACATTTTGAATCTGCTTATACTGCTGCGATCAATGAATTACTTTTTAAATATAATATAAAATGTAGTCTCAGCGAGATTGGCCGCCGTGGTTGAAATAGGAAATAGGCGTGATTATTTTTGATTTTTTTATACAATAGTAACTTCGTTAAATAATAGTAAAAAAATATCCAGCTCCAAAAAACTAAAATTTAGTAAAAAAAATTAGAAATATCACACCGATAGGGATACTTTAAATGTCCGCCATTCCTTGCGCTCGGCGTGACATCACAGTGATGTTCACACAGACATGGCGACTTTTGTTTGTAGCAACAACATCGCATCGCTCTTTTATGATATACTCTGACGTCACATTCGGTCTGGCCAATGGCGTACGTTTCAACTACTTTGAATTTCCCACCTATATTTGCAATTTTTAGTAAATATTTTTTTGATCAAAAAGAACTTACATTAAAAATATTGATATTTTCACCTTTATTTAAATCACACGCATCCCCATTGGTCGGAAGTACATCAGTCATTTTACTCTTCTTTTTATTTCCAGGCACACATGCTGGACATAGAATGCTTTTCGTTCCTAAACCGCGCGTTAGAGTCGGAAACCGCGCCCGTAGTGATAATGGCGACCAATCGCGGGATTACCCGTATCCGTGGGACTAACTATAAAAGTCCCCACGGGATTCCCTTGGATTTGCTGGACAGAATGATAATTGTTCCCACAACGCCCTACAGCCACCAGGAGTTGCGGGAGATATTGAATATCAGGTCAGTAATCATTTATTGTATGTTGGTAATATTTGGTAATTTGTGTGTTTTTTTTGTTTGTTGGCTTAGACTTTAAGAATAAACGCAGTTTTAATGAAAAGTAAACATTCGTTTTTATTTTCAATTCATATTCTTACAACATTTAAATAATTTCATTTGAAACAATATTGCTAGTGAAATAAACTTACATTTTGACAAAACTTAATATTATATATTTTCATACTAATAGAAATGAGTATTGTTGATCAATGTTATTACAAGCTTTTATTTAGCATATGTATGTTCGACGACACGTTTGGCTCAGTTTGTAATGACCCTACTTAATGTGCCAGCGGTCGCGAGTTCGAATCCCGCTGGGGGCATTCATTTGTGTTGATGAGCACGAATGTTTGTACTCCAGTCATGGGTGTTTATGTTTATAATATGTATGTATTTAAAGTTATATATGTGTAGTGTATCAACTATCTGGTATCCATAACACAGGCCTCGTAGCTTACCATGGAATTAGATGGTGGTGTGTGGTAATGTCCCAACATATTCATTTATTTGTTCATGTCAAATCTTGCAACTAAATTTTAAACAATCTATCATCAACTGATTGAGTTGAAATGTTTCAAACTCGTTTAGTTTAAATGACAATGCATGACATAAGTGACGTCATTCTAAATCCAACATGGCGGACTATGTTTTCTTTATGAATGTCCATTTTGTTTACCAGATGCGAAGAGGAGGATTGCCAGATGTCGTCGGAGGCGCTGACGGTGCTGACGCGCGTCGCGACGGAGACCTCGCTGCGGTACGCCATACAGCTGATTACCACCGCCTCGCTCGTCGCCAAGAGGAGGAAGGCCAACGAGGTGGGCGTGGGACTGTGGGAGTGGGGTAGGGACTGTGTGTGTGCACTACAAGTAAATTAAAGAAAAAATATTAAACTAGAAACTGTACCTTTGCTTTACTCGAATGATTCCCCAGATGCTTAATAATAACCTATGTTAATCCTGCTTATAGTTTATCTGTATATTAATTTTCATCAAAATCCGTCCAGCCGTATAAGTGTTAAGGAGTAACAAACAAACATACATAAATATATACGAACTTTTCTTATAAAGAAAAATATAGTCTGATGTTTCTCCACGCCCAGCAGTAGGATGTTAAAAAAACTGTTTTTTTTTCTTCACAGGTCAGTATGGAAGATGTAAAGAAGGTATACTCCCTGTTCCTCGATGAACATCGGTCGGAGCAGTTTTTGAAGGAATATCAGGACGAGTTCATGTTCAGTGATGGATCTGGAGGTGAGTGTTGCCATCTTGGTAGGTTTTCTGCTAAATGGTAGTTTTTGGTAGATATAAATTTTATATTTTGTGGTTATGTGTAATTTAATCTACTACTATATGTTACTAAAAGAATGATAGCATGAAAGGGAAAGAAAGATTGATAGGCCAAATGAAGACTGTTATTTTTTTCACTTTACGAAAAGAATTTAATGAAATTTTCTACAAACAATTATAACACGAAAAATGATCGATACAATACTGAGAGAAGTTATTCGTCCGCGCGCCTAGATCGTTAGCGAGATGAGTTCCGAATGAATTGCGATCAGGCGACTGCAGCGGCGACGCGGCGCGGGCGCAGCGGGGGGAACGCGCTATTGTATTCCTTTGGTGGCGTGATTTCGTAGCGTGGCCCAAACTTCATAAGCGCAGCGGATTGAGGCTGGGCGCAATTGTAGCGAGTCACGCCACATATTCCCCCTGGCCAGACCGTAATTACGGTCGATAAAAGTTAGGAATTTTCACTCTTCTACCGCTCCGCGTAGTTCTCTCATCATTAACAACAGGAACCGGAACCTCTTATGTCTAGTGTGAAGTACTTTGCTTGCCTGTCGAGTACTTTGAAGGGTCCGTCATAAGGTGGTTCGAGTGAGCTCCGGACATGATCTCGACGAAGAAAAACATGGGAGGATGTGTGGAGGTCCCGTGGTATGTAAAAGGGTGTTGTAGGGCTGGTGTGCCATGATGTCGGTTTTGGTGTGAGCTGAGCCATGCAGGATCGTAGACGTGTTGCGTATTCCGTGACGTCTGCAGTAGCGTAGTCTTCTATCGGAGACAGGAACTGGCTTGGTAAGCTGAGAGTCTGACCATATACCAATTCAGCTGGTGTAGCTTGGAGATCCTCTTTCCAGGAGTTGCGCATGCCCAAGAGAACCAGTGGGAGAACTTCAGTCCACTGTGATGACGTGTGGCACATGATCGCCGCCTTGAGTTGGCGATGAAGCCGCTCAACAATACCGTTTGCAGCTGGGTGATAGGCGGTTGTGCGAAGGTGACGCGCGCCAACCAACTTAGTGAGAGCCTTGAAAAGATGACTCTCGAACTGTCGTCCACGATCTGTAGTCACCCGTGCAGGACAGCCGAAACGGGCTATCCAACCCGATACTAGAGTAGCTGCGCAGGTCTCCGCCGTGATGTCCATCATGGGGTATGCCTCAGGCCATCGCGTGAAACGGTCGATGACGGTAAGGCAGTACCTGTAACCAGAAGACAGAATTAGGGGCCCTACTATGTCGAGGTGGATATGGGAAAACCTCGACGAGGGAGTGAGGAAAGATGAAAGTGGGGATGTGGTATGGCGGGTGATTTTGCTTTTTTGGCATGACAAGCATTGCCGTGACCACTCTCTACAATCTCTGCGTATCCCTGGCCATACGTATCTTTGTGAGACTAGTCGCACCGTAGCTGAGCTTCCAGGGTGATGCAGATTGTGCAGCGTGTCGAAGACTTGTTTCCTGAACTGCGGAGTAACATAAGGACGAGGCGGTTGCACAGAAGTATCGCAGTACAGGGGTAAGTTCCCATTTATAGTGTTAATCCTTTTTAGTTTCAGGGTGGAGCCGTGCAGAAGTAGATTTTGCAGTTCTGGATCTTTGTCCTGAGCTCGTGCAAGATCGTCGTAAACCACAGCTGTAGTGATCTCTTCAACCCGGGAAAGTGCGTCAGCGACTACGTTCTTCTTACCCGGTAAGTATTTCACGTCTGTCGTAAATTGAGCGATGTAATCAAGGTGTCTGAACTGCCTTGGGGTACATTTTTCTTTGCTCTTTGAGAAGGCAAATGTAAGAGGCTTATGGTCGGTAAAGATTGTGAAAGTTCTGGCCTCGACCATGTGCCGGAAGTATTTGATGGCCTCGTATACAGCCAGCAGCTCTCGGTCGTAGGGGCTGTACTTCATCTGCGAGGTGCTGAGCTTGTGAGAATAAAAAGCAAGTGGTTCCCAATCCTTACCATTTCGCTGTTGAAGCACGGCGCCTATGGCAGAATCGGACGTATCTGTCACCATTGCTAGCTCTGCAACTGGGTCCGGATGAGCGAGTAGAGCTGCCTGAGATAATGATTCCTTACAGTCTTCGAAGGATCGAAGTAATTGCGGAGTCATGTCTATCGGATGAGATCCTTTAATCTTAGAGCCACTGAAAACGTCATTGAGCGGTGCTTGAAGCTGAGCTGCGTTGGGAACAAATCGACGGTAAAAATTAAGCATGCCCAAGAAGCGTCTCAGTTCTTTGACCGTTTTTGGAACAGGGTATTGCCTGATAGATTCGACTTTCGACTCGAGTGGTTTCGTACCTGCAGCTGACACGTGGTATCCCAGGAATGTGACTTCCGGTTGACCAAGTACACACTTGGCAGTGTTTACCACGATACCGTACTCCCTTAAGCGCTCGAAAAGTTGCCGCAGATGATTCTTGTGCTCTTGAACGGATGAAGAAAATACCAAGATGTCATGTATATATCCGTAGCAGAATTCGAGTCCCAGCAACACCTCGTCGATAAACCTCTGAAATGTCTGTGCTGCATTTCTTAACCCGAAAGTCATGAAAGGGAATTCGTACAATCCAAATGGAGTCGTAATCGCCGTTTTCTTAATGTCATCTGGATTAACAGCAATTTGGTTGTACGCTTTGACTAAGTCGATGGTAGAAAATACAGAACAGCCCGAAAGTTGATAAGAGAAGTCATGGATATGACGGATGGGGTATCGATCAGGTATAGTTCTATAGTTAAGTGCTCTGTAGTCTCCACATGGTCTCCAACCATCGTCTTTCTTTTTTACCATGTGGAGAGGGGAAGACCAAGCGCTCTCTGATCGCCTGGCTGTACCGCTAGTGAGCATATCTGAAAACTCTTGTTTTGCAGCTTGTAAGCGAAGTGGATCGAGCCGTCGAGGTTTACTGGAGACTGGAGGCCCTGGAGTCGTTCTGATGTGGTGCAGCGTGCTGTGTTTATATGGTAGGTTCATACCTGGAGGGCGGGTTATCTCCGGGAATTCCCGCAGTATCTCGTGAAACTCGGTTTCTCCCGTGACCGATTTTACCGATGCAATGTCCTCAGTTGATGTGCAAGTTATAGCGTTGACAGAAAGAGTAGTAACGTTGTCGATTAAACGTTGATTTCTACAATCGACGAGTAAGCTGTAGTGGCTGAGGAAGTCAACTCCGATGATCGGTCGTGTCACATCGGCTATTGTGAAGTTCCATGTAAAGTTCCGTCTCAATCCTAAATTAAGGTGTAGCAGCACTGGTCCGTATGTGTGTATGACTGTGTTATTAGCAGCTATGAGGTCATACCTAGATTTTGAACAGGGCGTCTTGACCGCTGACCGGGGAAAAACGCACAAGTCCGAGCCAGTGTCCACAAGGAACTGCATTTTTGTCGTCCGATCTGAGATAAATAGACGGCCTGTTAAAGTGGGGCAGTCGTTGGCCGCTACTTGCGACTGCCCTGTTAGTTTTCCGCCTTAATCGTGCAAGGCTGCTTACATTTGTTCGCCTTTGCTCCGTAGGTGTAGTGATAAAAACAATGCGGGTGGTTCGGTGGTGGCTGCTTCGGTCTGGAATTCCTAGACCGAGAACGTGATTTAAAGCGTGAGCGAGATTTCGAGCGTCCTTGTCTGTTTAATTGAGTAGTGAGAAGTGCTACTTGCCTTGTTAGTTCGCTTATCTGCTTGGCCATGCTGTCATGGCTTTCCTGTGCGGCAGTAGAGGTGCTGGCAACTTGAGGGTTCATCGGTGCAATTTCGTGCACCTTGTCTGCGAGTTCAGCTAGCTTGTCCAACGATAAGTCTGCCATCTGAGAAGCAATTACGGTTTGTATATTAAGAGGCAGGCGACTCGACCACAGTGTTTTAATAAAATCCGACGCTGCAGATGCTCCAGCTAGATTCTGCAGGTGGCGTAAAAACTGCGACGGTTTGCGATCGCCAAGTTCTTCGTGGTTGAGCAGCTGCTGGATACGCCTCTCCTGCGATGCTGAAAGGCGACGGATCAGTTCAGTTTTCAGCTTTAGGTACTTATCGGTTCTAGGTGGGTTAGTAATTATGTCTTTTACTTCTCTAGCATATGGAGGTTCCAATTGCGCGGCTACATAATAAAATTTTGTCTCGTCACTTGTAATTCGAGACAGTATGAACTGGCCTTCGATTTGAGCGAACCATAAAGCAGGTTCTTCGACGAGAAATTGGGGTACCCGGACGCCTACTCGCAAGACTTCCGCGGGGGTTGGATCCTGCTGCTCGGTCTTGTTGAAAGCACTTGACTCGTCTGTCATTGTAGTATTTTAATTAAAAAAAAAAAAAAAATCTCTCACCAATTTTTACTTGGGCCACCACCGATCCTTTGTTACCTCCTTATAATTCCGTAGCAGGTAATATCGAAGTCGTGAGGTGCGCAGTATCAATCCACCGTTGTTTCGGCTTGTCGGCAGGTCACCAGTGTAGTTATGTGTAATTTAATCTACTACTATATGTTACTAAAAGAATGATAGCATGAAAGGGAAAGAAAGATTGATAGGCCAAATGAAGACTGTTATTTTTTTCACTTTACGAAAAGAATTTAATGAAATTTTCTACAAACAATTATAACACGAAAAATGATCGATACAATACTGAGAGAAGTTATTCGTCCGCGCGCCTAGATCGTTAGCGAGATGAGTTCCGAATGAATTGCGATCAGGCGACTGCAGCGGCGACGCGGCGCGGGCGCAGCGGGGGGAACGCGCTATTGTATTCCTTTGGTGGCGTGATTTCGTAGCGTGGCCCAAACTTCATAAGCGCAGCGGATTGAGGCTGGGCGCAATTGTAGCGAGTCACGCCACAATTTAATTAATAATGTTCTTAATTAGTTTTTGTTTGCGTTTAATATTTTTTTATTAAACGGTAATATGTGATAATGTTTTTAACTACTGAATTGTTATTTTTTTCTTTTAAAATATCCATCATGTAAGATTTGTGCATTTTCTAAATATGATATATTTTTATCCTTATCTAATATATAAAAAATATCGCACTTTAGATCATAGGTTATACTTTGAAAGAATTAATTCAGATGGACAGGTTAAATTGAATATTTTAACCTGCTTTCATTATTCTTCTCTTGTAACTGTTAAATCAAATTTTGGAAGACGATTTTGATAAAAAAAATTTTTAATGATGTGAAGCGGGATTTATACCATGTTTTATACTTTTCCCGTGGCGCTGAAATTTCTGGAAGTCTCAAATGTAAATGAAAATCATGGTAAATGACCCGTTTTACATCATAGTAAGGCCAGTGTGATTCGGGTTCGAATCCCGGGTCTCGCGTTTCTGATAATCCAAAATGTGAAACATTCCCAACATGATGACTACGTCTTATGGTGAAGGAGAACATCGTGAGGAAACCTGAATGTCTGAGAGAACCTAGCAAGTTGTCTGCAGACATGCTCAGTCCGCCCGCACTTGGCCGGCGTGGTGGACTATAAATCTGACTTCCCATATTGAAGGGAAGCCCACGCCCAGCAGTGGGACGTTAAAAAAAAGCTTATTCGTTTAAAATTCATAATTATTTTATTAAAATTTCACAATTAACGTATTACTTTTTTATATTTTCACAGATGCGCCACAAATGATGGAAGTGACGCAATAATTCAAGATTTAGTTTTTAAGACAATTCCAAAAAATATTGTTTTAATTTGTGACCTTTATATGAAGCCAGCATCGATTAAAAAAGTACTAGATACACAATCAGCGACCGAAAATGTCCTCACCGCATGAGCGCTCATTTGAACATTTGAGCGCGCTTTTAGTTTTTTTTATGAAAACAACTTTAAGTATTGCGTGTAAGGTTCAATTTACATTGTTGTATGTTTATTTCAACTAGAATATTCACCTAAACACAATTGGTGACAGTTTTAAGAGAACTTTTGTATGGGATTGTGTATTTAGTACTTTTTTGATCAATGGAAACCAGTGATGATTTGTAATTTTTTGTTTTGTATTTCTACCGATATTCCTTAGAAGATCTTATTTTTTTTAAATATGGTTTTAGTTTGTAATAGTTAAAGAAGCTATTATTTTAGTTCATACTTTGATTTTGGCTAACTTTTAATATTCACTTAATTATTGTTTATGGAATAAAATGCAACACAAAGTAAATAAAAATGCCAATCTATAAAATTAACATATAATAAAATTCTAACTGAATCGAATCTGTACATTAAATATTTTTTGGAAGATATTATTGAAATTCTTATTTTGATGAAATTTAGTATGATGATATCTGGTTATCCGGGTCAACATAAAGGATACTTTTTACTGCGGGAAAATATCTCATCTCTGAGAAATCTATACTAATCGTAAACGACACAAAAATTGTAAAAACTATAGATTCGGCCTCTGTATCGTTAATAAAGGCTATTTCAATGACATTTTTCAAGAATATTTAAGTACAGATTCGACTCAGAATTTTATTATATTTATAGATTTTTAACTGGTTTAAAACAATACTTTCTATTTTTCAGAAAGTTCCGTTATGCTTTAAGTAAGCTAATTTTTTTAATAATAAATATATTATGTAAGAATGTGTTTGAGTTTTATTTGGATTTTAAACTATTTTTAAGTTAAAATTATGTGTACTTATGTACGCACGTAAGAAGTTATTACTTCTTTGGCGTAACAGAACAAAAACAGCTAAAGATTTCATCCCGTATATCACAGCTCTGTTTGTAAAAGGAATGTATAACTTCATCATGTCGCTTTTTGGCTGTCGGTGTGCGCGCGCCTCGTAAAAAATTGACTCTCATATTTTTTTCCAAAGGTGCCAAAAGAAGTATAACTTGAATAAAAACTGTCTTAAAAATGTCAGGTTGTCATGGGGAAGGCATAGACGTGGAGTATTGACTGAGCAATACTCTCATGAAATTGACCACTCTAGAAAGAGAGAATGCGATAGTGCGGCCAGTTTTTTTATTCCAGTTTGGATTTATAAATGCAATAAATTTATATATTTTTTTTAAATTATAAAATTCCTGAAAATTATGATATTATAATTGAATGTAGAATAATTATACATATCTTTATTAATCGTATTTCAATGAATGCAGAAGACTTCTGGCCGCACATTCGTTTAATTGCATCTGATGAATTTTCAGTTTTCAGAAAAAAAAGGAATAAATAGAAAGTATTTTCACTTTTCAGCGTTTGTTTACTTGTATGTTGTCTACAATGTTGTTTTTTGTTTAACTTAATTTTGTAATATCTGTTACACAGTACATTCAATTTTTGCCTTTTCACTTCCGAACCCCATAAAACTTACGTAAGTTGTATTGCTCATAATTTGGACCCGTTCCTCCCCCTTTATGAGATTTAGTGGGACCCCTCCACGTGAGATTAATACGCACGCTACAGGTAATAGCCGTAAGATTTTTTATCAGGGGGCAAAATAGGACACAGAAAATGAAAGAAAACCTTAACATTTTCTTATTATCTGTATAATATACATAACATTCATTTAAAGTTGACGTGAGAAATGAGATTTAATGAGATTTTACTAAACCCCCCTTTTAAACTCATATAATTAATGGATGCCCACTAAGGAGTATAGATAAAATAAAACAAATTACCACGATAAATTAACCATTTACTTAAACCAAAGCGTTATCTACACTACATGTTATACACATTTAATTCTTGTCGCGGTAGTGTTTGATGTTGACCAGGACCCAGGCGGGGATGGCCAGCCATACAACAACCATGGATCCCGCTAGGAAGATTGTCTCCTGAAAATAAAAGGATATTTCATTAATTAAAATTGACACACACTACTTTTTAACTAAAAAGTGTACATATTATATACTGCTTCTTGTTTGTCGGTTATGTATATATTCTTAAACATTATTTGAAGGTTACTTTCTTTGGTGCGTTATGAAAAATGAATGAGACTGAATTTTTTATGGTGATTAGACTTAAGTGTGAAGTTAGTTGTTAAATCTCCCTTAAGTATAGTATGAAGAAGAAAACACACGTTTGATCCTCATGACAATACACGATCACCTAAATGCCACCATTTTTTTTATAAAGTCCGGTTTACATATATGTACATTTGGTTAAAGTGGAATTCATAGTCCAAAAAAATCGATAATGATAGAAGCATATCGCAATTATACACAATACTGTTCATCTTATGGATAAAAATATGCAAAAGGTACCTTTGACAACAGTGTAAAGTTCTTGTATCAGTCAAACGAGGTCCGATAACTCTTTTTCAATCTAGCTCAGCCCTACATACATGCACATATTCTACAACCACTAAACACCACCATTTATATAACAGCTGTAGTTTATTGAAGTAAAAATCTACTTATGACTTGCTTAACTAGCAACTCAGCCTTGCTTGGGTTCAGGTTCATCCCTTGACAAAAACAAATCTAACCCATGTGGACTGTACATATTTCCAGGGCAAAAATAACCTGTGTGCTTTTCCAGACTATAATCTATCTCTGTGCCAAATTTCATCCAGATTCGTTCAGCCGTTCTGGCGTGAAAGAGTACAAACATACATCCTCCCAAACTTTCACATTTATAATATTAGTGTAAATCCTCCTGAGTAATATGAATGACTATTTCAATCATTTTTCATATAAACACTTTTGAAGAAAAAATATGAATTTAAACACATATATCTTATTAAACAAAGTAAAACATAATAAGCACTTGTAACATAATAGTAAAGATTTATGAATTACATGTATCGTATGAATATAAGTTATGTTTATTATATCGTTTTATTTGCAATTACTACTTGAATCAACAAAATTATATACACTTTTTTACTTTAATTAAAGAATAAGCAAATAATAAAGCGGGTGACCAAAAATATATTAACACAGAATTATTGACTATCAACAATAGCGAAAAGATAACCTATATTTTCATACAAATTACGTAATATCATAATCAATTTTTTCGCCTTTCAATGTGTAATCCAGCAAATATGTATAATTTATAAATTAAATATGACAGTTACATTATTACATCTATTATTTTTATGGAAGTTTTGTAAAAATATTGAATCAATACTTACGCCCCTAGTTATCTTATTTCTAGCAGGAATGGCGATGCCACTCATGTTTCTGGCTTGTACTGCATTTTTAGCGAATTGCTGGGTGGGTCTAATGAGGTTTCTGATAGCAAACATTTTGTATTTTTTGTTAATTTCACGGAAAAATTTGGACACTTGGACAGTCAATATTGCGATTCCAAAAGAAAATTGACTTAGGGATACCATATAAAATGTCAGTCTAGGTAATAAAAATAATGTTGCCATATGTTAATATACATTAAGAAAAAAGGATTTACTAACAAAAAATATTTTTATAACATATGATTTTAATCACGAAAACAAAGAAAATAAATTGAAAATCGGCTATATAAATAAATCTAAATAAATGAGACTTTTAAATTGTCAGTTATTGGTTCTCATTAGGAAACAAAATTACGCTCAGATGTGATGCAGTGCATAGCGTTTTCATAGGCCATTAATTCATACAGGCGACTTAATAAAGGCGTCTAGACAGGATAATCGAGCGAGGCATCCGAGGCGTGACGTGATGACACTCCCGAGTCCCGACCAAAGAGTTATAAAATGAGATTTAATGGGGACTCTCAACTGTCGTACGTACTTACACTACTAATGTTCTCCCTGTACAGTGATCGAAATTTGACCATAATCATTACAGAAAATTCGAAAAAAACATATATGAATAGAATTTACCTAGATAGATAAATTCTACTCATGTATGTTATTGAAAAAAATATATTTAGTAACAAGACCTACTAAACAAAAACAATATCTGTAGACAAACAGAGGAAATAGACTGTTTTATCTTTGCTGTTCATAAATCCTCACGTGCTTATAATATTAATTGGATATAAACAAGGACTTAAATAAGTACATAAAAAAATAGTCATTATTTTTCTTTATTTATTTTCAAAAACAATACCTGAGTTACATTTTTATAAACCATAAACTTAACGTTCCAAAGATTAAAAACGGCGAAGTTTTGAACAATATGGCGGCGTTACGATATATTGGCGCGCATTCTTTTTCTAACCACTCATAGTCTTCTGTTAAATTTCTTTGTTTCAAAATAGGGCCCAGAGTTGATAAAACTCTTTCGTGATAAGAGTTAATGTAAGTTATCTGAAAATAAAATAATAAATGTTGGGTCAAAAAGATTAACACACAGCACCATCTAGTTCCATGTATAACTTTAAATACATACATATTATAAATATAAACACCCATGACTAGAGTACAAACATTCGTGCTCATCATACAAATGAATGCCCCCAGCGGGGCTCGAACCCGCGACCGCCGGCACAGCAAGTAGGGTCACTACAAACTGAGCCAAACATGTCGTGAATATACTAAATGGAAACTATATAAAAGAAAAAAACGTGTGTGTGTACTTATGTACGCACGTAAGAAGTTATACTTTTTTGGCGTAACAGAACAAAAATAGCTAAAGATTTCATCCCGTATATCACAACTCTGTAAAAGGAATGCAGCTGACTTCATCATGTCGCTTTTTGGCTGTCGGAGTTTGCGCGCATCGTAAAAATTTTACTCCATTTTCCATATTTTATTCTCAAAAATTAAATAAATAAATAAATGTTGGGACATTAACACACAGCGCCATCTAGTTCCATGGTAAGCTACGAGGCTTGTGTTATGGATACCAGATAGTTGATACACTACACATATATAACTTTTTAAATGCATACATATTAAAAATTGTACATTAACGACTAATTCATAATACATAATATTTCCATTTGAAGATATTAAACAACCTGTATAGCAAAATCGAAAATAATAAATAATAATAAAAATAATATAAATTATAATCATGCGTAAAAACAATAATGACTGATAAAAAATTATATTGAATACCATTGATGTACAAAAACTCGAGATACACAATTAGCGTCTCAAAAGTGTCCTCAAAAAGAAGTGCACTGTTCGAAATTGTGCGCTTTTAAATCTCTTTTGTTCATCGCTTTTCGAATGACAAAATAAAAACACACATTGTTTCGTTTAAAAAAGTACTTTACGTGGTGTGTTTAGGTTCGGATTTGTGTTTAGACAATTAGAACTTACGCTTTTTGAATATTATTCTTTGGTTTGACTTAACGTCACATGTTGACGCCACTTTTTGAAGAGATATTTGTTAGGAAATGTGTATCTATGTTTTTATAATATCAATTGAATATTTAATAATAATACCTCAAAATCATTGAGCAGTTCCACATCGAGACAGGCAGTTTGATGCGGCGCAAGCGATATCGTATGGAACGCCACCGCACCTCTCCCACTGAAATCATCTACCATACCTTGTGCCTACAAATAATTTAAAGAAAAATCATTAAACAATAAATATGTAGCATTGGTAGTGGGTTCAATCTCGGAGATGACATTTTCATGTATGAATTATTTTCAAATTTAACACTTGCTTATACGGTGAAGGAAACATCCCCATGTGTGAGATCTGGCGTAATGACCTGTGACATCACAGGTTTTCGAAACCTGGTCCGTATTTTAAAATTAGGGAAGGGGGTCGAGGTTGTTTCAATAAAGGAGGTACCCTCACCTATGATATCATTTTTTTGAAATTGCGTTTTTTTTCTTTAGAAAATACACCAACTAAACTTAAAAAACAAAACCTTATCTAAATACAAAAATTGATCCGAATTCTATAATTTCTGTAACACTACTGACAAGAATCCTAAAACAAGAAATATTTAAAAAAATGTAATGCAAAAAAAATATATAAACTTACCGACATATGAGTAGCTTCATTATTCATCTCAATAACCTCGACGAGATCTTCATGTCGAATCCCGTATTCACCGACTTCGTAAAAGCCGGGTTCTGTAAAAGAATAATTCTTAATCCCCCTGACCGATGTCGGTCACAACGACCAATCTCACAGACTAGCCAGCTGTACAGAGTTTGAGATGGTGGTGGTGGATAGTGATGGTGTCCAATTCAATTCAATTATCTTGTTAATGTCTTCAAAGCGTGCCAGTTGAGCACAGATTACTTCGCCAATATCATCTAAAATGGAGAAGACGGAAAAGACATAGGTCGGAGAAATAAGGTCATTAAAGGTGTGTATACACTCTTCCATAATTTTCACTGTCACGTTTACTAAAACCTCTCCAATACTCAAGGTAACTCTCCAATACTCAAGGCTTTGAGATTGTAGAATCGCTATTTTTTCAAATTCTTTCCTAATCGAACCAATAACTATTCTTAGCTCGACCCGGGACTCGAAGTCGTAACTTGTCGCTTAAATATGAACATATTCCACTATTCCGTAATTAATCACTACTGTTTTATATGAGTTTGTGTTTGTTCGGGCTGATCTCAGAATCTACTGTATGAATTTTCATACGGAATTCAACAATAGAAAGGATTTTATTTAGGAATACGTACTAAGTATTGATATTATGGTATTTGATAAGCCATAAGCCAAATACCTACTAGAATATTAAAAACAAGCGGACGCACGTTGTCCTGATCGAATATGGTCTTCACAAAAGTCCTAGTACCTGACTGCAGCGCCAGCTACGGGGTCCAGTTATGGATCTAAGCCATTCAGGAACCCACTCAAACACACAAGAAAAATCCACCAAAATCAATCCAGCCGTTTAGAAGTTCAGTGACATACACGCCTATAGAAGAATTATATTTATAAAGATGAGTAAATAATATTTTTACCATTACTAAATATCATCCCGGGGACAATCCCGGGATCGGTCGCTATCAATCCTGTCCCAATGCCGGAGGGACCTTCGTGTACATTCAAGAAGTGCCCCACTCCATGCCCAGTTCCGTGGGCGTAGTTCAGACCGACATCCCACAACCATTTACGAGCTAGAATATCTAGAAGATTGCCCTATAAAATAATAATTAGAATAAATTCGAATATTGCCATTTATAAAACTATTTTTTCATTTGCTTTCACGGCTTTTTTTGTCTTAAAAATAATACTGTAATAATTTAGAAAAAAAATGAACGGGTAGAGTAAAATTTAGTAAAAGAGCTGAGCTTAGAGGACCATTCATCATTTTATAGAACATAGGTACGATCATATTCCATACCATCGTGGTCCTCGTAAAAATAACACTTTCTCCTTGCGTTTTTTTAAACTTTTATGAGGGTCGTCCTCGAAAAAATGTTTAAAATGCTGGGCCCCCCTTGAATCAGGGGCCCCATGCGACCGCATTACTTAAAGTGGTATAGCTACGCCACTGTGCAAAAGTATAGTATAATAAATCTTACAGTAGATCCTCTAGGAAAGACTGCAGTCCCCATCAAAATCTGTCCTTTCAAAACTCGAGTAAAAGCAAGTCGTTGTGCTGCAGTGGGAGAACCACTCATGTGTCTAGTCCTGGTAATGTCTGTTGTGCCGTCCCTAAAAAATAAATATTCCGGTATATAAACACCCAATTTTTTAAAATTTTCTTTGTTTACATCGTTATTTCACCGTAACGTTTAAAGAGAATAAAAATTATACTTAGGTGATTCTATAAATTGACATTTTTTTTTTATTTATGAACCGATTGAAATAAAACAAATACTAAATGATAAGTGATGCTTACCACAATACATTAGTGAAAACATCACCCAAATCGGTTTCCGATTTGCCATTTCCGGGATTTGCTCGCACAAACGCAGAGACATACAGACAAAAAATCTAAAAATCATTGTTTTTGGGTTCTATTGTATTAAAAAGACTCCCAATACTAGTTTTTCCAAATATCTTCCATGTACAGACAGCGATCAGTTACACTTTAATTATATGTAGTACATAGATGATATTAAAAAATATATTTCTAAATTTTTTTGTTTAATTAGTGCAATTTTAGAATCTATTACACTGCCATAGATACTAAAACTGCACTTGACAAACAAAGAGATTGCAATCATAAGATTGTTCAGTTCACAAAAAACTACGATATGAACACTACGGTGTTTACACCGCTCAAATTTATTATATTTTAAATTTATTATATTATACTTCGTTATTTACATTAAGTCATTTCCTCGGGATATACTTACATATATTGCCCCCCAGAATCAACTAAGAACATCTCGTCCTTTTCAATGACCCTCTGAGGCCCTTCTCTCGAGGGCTTATAATGTATAATTGCCCCATTCTCCCCTGCGCCTGCAATCGTCGCGAATGATGGTCCCTTGTAATCTTGTTCTTGGCTAAAATATAAAAACTCTTAATAAAACTATCGATAAAGGTTTTTTTAACATACTTACTAACACGTTAAAGCGCTTATAAGTACGAGTACATACCTTCTGAGTTCATCCAATTTGTCAACAACGTTTATTTCAGTAATATTCTGTCCATCTGCCACATTCTCGTGAAGCCAGCGCAAGAATCGAACTACCGCTATACCGTCCTTAATGTGGGATGATCTGAAACCCTAAAAATTTGCCTTTTAAAAAAAAATCTACCAAGTTCACTTATTTTTCACCAATACGCAGTTATTTTGTATGTTTTTGTGGATATATTACGCGACGAATTAATTTTCATATATTTTTTTAATGAAAAAAAAATACTTTTAAATTATTTTATTTTATTTGTGTGTAGCCTTCTTTCCCGCTTCTTCTTCTTTTTTTTTTGAAGTTCTACTAATACATAATAAGGTAGCAAACTATTGCTTCGCATGCATTTTTTGTATTATTTTACTACAAAGTTTCACAATTCTATGCGCAAAAGGAGGAACTTAAAAGCAAGGAAGTTACAAAACAAAAAACCACGCTGACATATAATTGCTTCACAAACAAAATTGTACGTACTTGAAGACTTATTTCATACCTCTAGTTCAACGCTATTTTTAACACACTTCATGAGGGCGACCGGAGAGAGAGTGGAAAGAGTCCTTACATCTTTATTCTATAACAAAAAATATATAGTTTAAAAGGAACAATAAATAGAAGTGTCAGTCGCATTCAAAGTTATCCCGAATTATAGGGAATTTAAAATATTTCGTATTTTTTATCTTTGAATTTTAGAGTTAGAACTTTTTTGTAGCAATACCCAAATTTTATATAAAAGCAAAATTATTTTTTTAAATAATATTATAAAAACTATTTTGAAGATTTTTCCATCCAATTTCATCCAGTCAATTCAAAAAAAGTAAATATTTGGAATCCCAATATAAAAAAAACAAACTCACCGTTTCCGCCGCCATATGTATGGCTTCGCTTCCGTCGCTCGAGAGCCATATAACGTGGTTATTATTTAATTGTTGCTAAAACAAGTTCAATTATTTTAGTCAAACTACAATCAATAAATTTTAAGACGTAGTTAGATTTTATATAAGTTAATCTATACATATAATAAAATTCTGAGTTGAATCTGTACATTAAATATTTTTTGGAAAATCTTATTGAAATTGTCATTACTATCGGTAGGCACAGAGGCCGAATCTATGGTTTTAAAAATTTTGTCTATCTGTCTGTCTGAGAACGCATCACGGGAAAACCACTGTACAGATTTTGATAAAATTTGGTATGATGATAGCTGTGTATCCGGGTCAACATATAGTTTTTACTGCGGGAAAATATTTCATATCTGAGAAATCTCTAGCTGAGGAAAACCAAAATAAACCAGTCCCACGGGAACCGTACACTTTTCCGGGATAAAAAGTAGCCTATGTGTTATTCCAGACTATAATCTATCTCTGTGCCATATTTTATCCAGATCCGTTCAGCTGATCTGACTTGAAAGAGTAACAATTAACAAAAATCCAAACTTTCACATTTATGTTCGTAATATTAGTATAGATTTAGTAACAATATAAATATATAGATAACTAGCAGAACCCGCAGCTTCGCTTGCACTAAAACTAAACAAAATAGCTAAAAAGGTAGTTTCATACAAACTTTCATCCCCTATTTAACCCCCTTATAGGATGAATTTCGAAAAATGCTAAAACACATATTTATTTAATTTAATTGAAGACCATTAATACCAAGTTTCAAGTAATTCTGATCATAAATATTTTTTCTGATTGTATTATAAAGTGATTTCCCGTGGGAATTAGGTAATCTCCCGCGGTAAAAAGCCTATGTCACTTTCCAGCCCTCCAACTATCTCCATACAAAAAATCACGCCAATCCGTCACTCCGTTTCGACGTGATAGAAGAACAAATAAACAAACACATTTATAATATTAGTATGATTATATACTCACGCTGTATGCCCTCAAATATTGGAATATCTCAGTATACGGTAGGCACCGAACCCGCGTCCCTTCGGATAGCAAATGATTTTCTATGTTAGCCGATAACTGGCCATCACCCCAAAACAATATCACATTATTTTCTTCCTAAAAAAAAATTGTAATTGTTTTGATCGTTTCAGAATGTCGTTCGTTCTGAATTTCGTTTTAAATTACAGTAATAGATAAGAGTTTTTATTATCTCTTCAAAACATAAAAACTTTTTTAATTTTTCTAATATATAACCTTATAAAATTTGATGGTTGTAATTATTTATGTATTTTTATTTTTTAACGTAAAGGATATATTTAGTTTTTCATCATTAAACATGCATTGACGACATGTTTGGCTCAGTTTGTAGTGACCCTACTTACTGTGCCAGCGGTCGCGGGTTCTAGTCCCGCTTTGGGCATTCATTTGTGTGATGAGCACGAATATTTGTACTCCAGTCATGGGTGTTTATATTTATAATATGTATTTATTTAAAAGTTATATATGTATCTATAACACAAGCCTCGTAGCATACCATGGAACTAGATGGTGTTTTGTGTTAATGTCCTGACATATTAAAAAAAAGTTATCTATACTGAGAGATAAGTGAAAAGAGCTTTTACTTAAACTTTTTAACGAGAAAATTTTCATGTCTTCTCCATTCCACGTGGCATTGGCGAAGTAATCTGTGCTCAACTGTCACGCTTTGAAGACATTCACAAGAGAATTGAAATTGAACAACAAAATTGAATTGAATTAAGAGCATTTACTTACCAAATCCGCTCTAATAACTAGATATGAAAAGAAAACTGGATTGAATGGTATATCTGAGCCTCTGATGTTAAGAGTATCTGAAATGAAAATATACAAATAAATTATTCTCAGGGATATCATATATCAGTTCGATTTCTGGTTAAATAAAACTATTGTCCGTCATCAAGAAAGTGTGAGATTTTTTTTATCAAGGAGTGATTTATTCGTCAGTTGTGACTTTTTTTAATTATTACTGTCAACTAGTGATTTACTTAAATCAGTCCAGCCGTTTCGGAGGTTAGCCGGAACACACAAACAGACAGTCAGGCAAATTTTTTAAAAATTGTGTTTTTCTGATAATTATCGTGTATAATTTCATATCCATTTAGTTAAAAGCTGTTATTTTGACATTACACACAGACACTTCAATTTTATTAATCTGTATAGATAATCTAGAACTATGTGTTCTGCCTAAATTGCATTCAAATCGGTCTAGTGGTTTAAGCTTGCATGAGTAACAAACATACAAACTTTTATTTATATTAGTAGTCCAATCAAGTAAATTCTTACATGCTATATCGTCCAACGCTGTCAGTACTAATGCAGATGCTCCACGACTTCGAATTTGGGACAGAAGATCAGATATTTTACTGCTCGAGTTTCTGCCTGAAATTAATTAAAAAAAAATATGTAGAAAAAAGTATATAGTCCAGTGGTAACGCGCTCGCTTGGGAATTCGGGTGGAGCGGCTTCAAATTCCGAGTCTTGCACATCTGATATTTTCATGAGCGAATCATGTCCAACATGATTACCAATTGTCGTATGGTGAAGGAGAACATCGTGCGTGAAAAAACCTGCAATCTGTTATGTCTGAGAGAACCTAGCAAGTTTTCGAAAGACATGCTCAGTCCGCCCCCAACCCCAGCAGTGGGACGTTAAAAAGGGCTGAATGAATATTAAGTACACTAATAATAATCTAATTTAATTAGTCTTTACTTTGTTTTTGTTATTTTTAACTGAATTTAAAGAAAGTGGTATAAATAGTTGTTTTAAAACTGAGATTGCCTAGTTGGTCTAGTCATCTAGTGGATAGCATGTACGGCTGCAAATCGTGAGATCTTGGGTTTGAATCCCTCTCCTGGTTAGCCAAAACTAGTGGCCCACCCTCGATTAGTCCCGGTTCCTCCCTAGAAAAACAAAAACAATTCTATCCCACGGGAACCGTATATTTTTCCAGAATAAAGAGTAGCCTATGTGTTATTCTGATGTATGAGCTATATTATAATAAGATTTCATAAAAATCGTTTAGTAGTTTTTGCGTGAAAGAGTAACAAACATCCATACCTCCAGTCATTCTCACAAACTTTCACATTTGTGTTATTAAAGAAAATTACAAATATACTTAATTATATATACAAAGCAAATGTACACTTAATTATAACTGTACAAGTCATGTCCGCGTGGAATAGTGGCGAGAATGCTACCCGCATTCCCCCGTTGAATGGCAATGCCGATTTGTGATAATGCAATTTGTTATATTAGTAGGATTGATCAAATTATCCACGGATGATAAAATAGTTAAAGTGGTTATTGTTAAGCATAGATGTAGTAATGAAGTGGTACTGTACAGTAATAAAATAAGAAATATGTTGGTGCATTAATACACAGCACCATAAAGTTCCATGGTAAGCTATGAGGCTTGTGTTATGGATACCAGATAGTTGATACACTACACATTTTAAATACATATATATTATGAATATAAACACCCATGACTGGAGTACAAACATTCGTGCTCATCACCCAAATGAATGCCCCCAGTGGGACTCGAACCCGCGACCGTTCGCACAGCAAGTAGGGTCACTACAAACTGAGCCAAACGTGTCTTCGTTAGTTCTGAAAATAGCCGCTAGGAAAATATTGTAGTACCAATAAATACCTGTATAATTATAGGGTAGTGCCAATAAAGGTTCGTTAGGTCGCGGCGGAGCTGGGTCTCCTAGATTCTTTCTAGCCTCATCTACTACGTTATCATAATCAGCTACTAATGTTACATTCACTTGGTTTAAGGCAGTCTGAAAAAATATATAAATTACTCGCGACTCACGTTGCTCCGCTCGGGTTCGTCCCTAGGGTGGACCACCCTTATCACTTAGGGGTATCAAAAATAGTTTACGTCCTATTCTCAGACCTACTGAATATACACGTAAAATTTTATAAGAATCGGTCAAGCCGTTTCGGAGGAGTTTTGTTACAAACACTGTGACACTAGAATTTTATATTACACTAGCGACTCACCCTCGCTCCGCTCGGGTTCGTCCCTGGGGTGAGGTCTGGGAGGACCACCCTTATCCTTATCACTTAGGGGTATGAAAAATAGACTAGATACTGAATACGCATATAAAATTTGGTAAAAATCGGTAAAGCCGTTTCGGAGGAGTACGGTAACAAACATTGTGACATGGAAATTTTATATATAAGATTAGACTAACGACTTACGTTCGCTTCGCAATGGGGGCGGTACGTTTTTTTTTTAGTGGTACATTTTAATTTTTTTTAGTGGAATTCTAATTGTTTTTCTAAAATACCGTAATATCTTTCATATTAACCTAGTCTAAGTTACTCCTTAACATCAGCTATCCACCAGTGAAAGTCTGTTCAAAATCAGTCCAACCATTCTGGGGATTATCCGGTGTGACGCCGATTTCGATTATATTTGATTAGGTATCTACGAGTATAGTAAATCAAAACTACCAATCATTTTACTTTTTAGTGCCTGGAAGTCGTTTTTTTTGAAGTCGGTTTATTTTCTTTTTAAACTATTTTTTTATTAATATCATTGTTCATTAAAACAATAAGAAAAAGCACACACACACACACAGTTTATCAGCTATCTGCCAGTGAAAGTCTCGTCAAAATTAGTCCAGCCGTTTTGGAGATAATATCCGGATTGGCACCGACTTTGAAAATATCTGATTAGGTATCTATATAGTAAATGGGAACCGCCGCTCAGTTATTTTTATATTTTAGTGCTTGGAAGTCGTTATTTTTTTAACTCGGTTTATTTTTTTAAACTATTTTTTATTAATTTCATTGTTCATTAAAACAATAAGAAAAAGCAAACATTTTCAACCCCAAAACCATAGTTCGTAGCGATATTACAGTTTGCTTATACTGACCTCTAAAGCAGACCAGGCAGAACGAGTGTAGGTAGTGGGATCGATGCCCACCACAGAGTTGGGGGCCATATTTGATACTAACCAATTTTGTATTGAAGGATCGATACCTAAAGATAAAATGAATTTCAAACAAATTAGTCATTTTCTTAAGAGGAAATACAAGAAAATCACAAATACACATAGTTATAAAATGTACACTTATTTATTACTGTACAAGTCATGTCCGCGTGGAACAGTGTCAAGAATGCTAGCCGCATTCTCCGGTGAATTGCAATGCCGATTCTTTGGGCGAAAAACGAGCCAGCTTCTTGTCATCAGTAGAGGCGATAAGACGAGGTGTTATGTCTTATAAGAAGTGTTTGGCATTTGGACTCCATGGACCACATGGGTTTTTAACAGCTTTTTTAAATTATATAAAGGCATAATTTGGACTAAGGATAGGTTATTATGGAGTTTGTGTAGTTCAGCCTTTTCCGCCGCGGTTTGTTATCCTTCAGTCTTCTTATAGATTTAAAGATATAATCCCTACGTATATTAGTAATCCCGGAAATCCCCTTTTTCCGGGATTCCCGAGATTCATGGATATTAAATCAACAGTGGACTTACCGAGTCTCATCAAAGTCCATACTTCAGTATCGACTTCTATTTCAAACTGAGTGAAGTATCTCGCGTCTGTCCAGACCAGGGCGTGGTTTTCGGTGACTACGGTGGTTCCAGATGACCCTGATAGACCAGATAGCCATTCTCTTCGAGCGTCGCTTGGAGCTATGTATTGCGACTGTTGGAAAACGGTACATTAACTTAAATATATTTTATTTACCAATCTAATTACCGCTATATATAACACTAGCGACTCACCCTCGCTCCGCTCGGGTTCGTCCCTAGCTTGATTCCCAATACAAACTTTCATCCCCATTTTCACCCACTTAAGGAATGATTTTCGAGATATAAAGTATCCTATGTCCTTCCCAGGGTCTTAAACTAATTTCTTACCAAATTTCATCTAAATCGGTTCAGTAGATTTAGAGATTACCCCCTACAACGTCACAAACTCACAAACTTTACCTCTTTATGATATCAGTATAGACTAGCGACTCATCCTCGCGTCGCTCGGGTTCGTCCCTAGATACCTACGTTTTAACAGTTAGTATGGAATAAGAATGATGAATTTTATATCCCTTACTTGAGAAATGATTGATTCCACATAAACACTCCCCCACTTTTGACCCTCTTAAGAGATAATTTCCTGGATAAAATCCTATGTCCTATATGATCTTATATACTTCCAATGGTTTCAAACTATCTTCATACCAAATTTGATCTAAATCAGTTCAGTGATTTTTTTGTTTATTCATAAGAAACATACAGAGAATCATTTTTTCCCAATTATATTAGTGGTAAATATACATTACTTACGTTATGTGCATCAGCAGTAGGCACAACGAATGCATTAATTGTTTTTTCCTTCATGATCTCCCTTACAGCATCCAATTTCATCTGGCTAGGTACAGCTCTGCTAGTGAGTTCCGTTGATTTAACTAAAAAGTATTGATACATTTAGTTCGCAATACACTTGGCTATAAAGGCAGCTTGGATTGATTCCCATGGAACTTAATTATGTTAAAATGATGACGATGATATGTCCTCCTGACCGATTCCGGCCACTAGCCAACTGCGCAGGAGATATTATAGTGCAACGCGTGTACGCGCAGACACAACTGCACTCTCTATTCCTGTCACTCTCATACTCCGATGGGACGATACTTAGACAGTGACCGGTGAGTTTCGTGACTTTTTTCCTCCGGTTAAAATTAACCGAGTTAGGGAGGTTTAAGGAATGAACGTAAATTAAAAAAAATCGTAATAGAACATACAAATCATATAAAGCACAGATCATAATTTATACTACTATAATACTACTTAAAGCTATCACTTTAATTTTAAGTTGCTATCTATATCTATCTCTTTAAGCTCTAAGATGAGAGCTAATTTGCTAGTGTTTACTATACTTTTATTAATACACTAGCGACTTCGCATCGCTTGGATACGTCTCAAGGTACGTTTAATTTTTTTTGAGCGGAACCCTAATTCTTTTTCCCACATATCCACATCAAACTACGATAGATGGCGCTCGAGTTGTAATTGATCTCTATTTAAAGAAGATTGTTACTTCTAAAAGAACTAAAAGAAAAAAAAGCAGTCATGAGGACTGCCGACAGAAGTGAAAACTTAAAACTATAAACAAACTGTTGTTATTTTTGGATATTCAAATTAATTGTTTGATCTTAAATTAAAATGTGTAAATTAAAACTGCTTACATTTATCTGGTTTCGAGATCTATCGACACTCTGAGTGTTTAGCGTTAACACGTCCGTGACCATGTCGATGACGACTTACATGAATACTCCCCATCCAAACAAACCTGCCCATACAAGTTTTCACTTCAAAAAGAGAAGAGACAAGAGGACAGAAAGAGAATACTCACTCTGGGATGATCAGAATCTTTGGTGACATTAACGATCTCCACAAGATCCTCATGTCTTATGCCATATTCGCCAACTTTGTAGAAACCCGGCTCTGAAGGAATTAAAAAAAATATTTGTTTATCCGACGGCGATAAAAGGAGGGTTATGTTTTTCGAGTGTATGTATATATGTATAGATTTATATTTCTTTGGCACGCTTTCAATATCGAGATAGAACTACATGTGCTGAAATGAAATATCTATGTATGTATTGTATGTATGTATGTTTATGTTGATAACTGGATATAATAATCTATGAACATAATGAAATAGGAACTAATTAGCAAAATCTGTACATGAAATATTTTTTTAAAACAATAACTGTAACGTATTGTGTACAGCAGGATGGAGTGGAAAAAGAAAGTTTTTTTTTAGCTTCGGGGTAGGAGTTGATCTTTTTTGTATCATAGTAAAAGTTGGGTAAAAAATATACTATATTTGTAAATTCTTGAATGTGTTCGAAGGGGATCGAAAAAAAAATCCATTCAAACCAAAAATGTATCAAAACTCAATCCAATATATAAACTTCAAAATAAACGTCATTACATCCAAAAATCAATGGACCACCTCAAAATGTTTAGTATATTTTTTAAAAAATTTTCTTTTTTTTATAAGCTACAAATTCTAACCCCAAAAGCTAAGAAAAAAAAAGTTTTCTTTTCACTCTACCCTAAGCACTAACCACTACTCAAGATCTGCCCCTCCCGCAGGCCGGGGTCGTGCGGGTAGGGCCGCCAGGTCACGCCCGCGGGTTCCTCGTACACGTTGAGGTAGTGCCCCACGCCATGCCCCGTGCCATGGGCGTAGTCCAGCCCCACGTCCCATAGGGCCTTGCGCGCTAGGGTGTCTAGTACGTTGCCCTACGATGTAGGGTAAACGTTTATATTATTTTGAAGTGAAACTTCTTTAGAATCGTTGTGTTTTGAAACTAGTTACGGAACCCTAATCCCACGAATATGCTGACATATCAAATAAATGTACGTTTCCCAGGCGACCACCGCCGAGTTCCCCGAATTAGTTTTGTAATGCCGCATTGTTTTAATTTAGTAATTTTATTAATTGTAATACTTTTCCAATCACTCTTTATTCATACTTCGAGTAAAGAAGTCGTTAGTTTTAAGATATATAATTATTGTATTAATGTAAAATTAATAAATAATTATTAATTATTTGGTTTTTTTTCGACCTCCTGACTGCTGCAAACGTAATTGGCGCAGTCGGTAGGATTTTCGCGGGCCGGTTCGCGATCGGTCTAAATTAATTACTCGATAATTATCATCGCGTCGCGTGCCGCCCGGGTGACTACCAAGCACCGTTCGAGAATCCAGAATCTACGGACCTGTGGCAGCCGGGAGTGGAATCCAACAATCGATTCAACTGAAAAGAGACCAGATAATGCAATTTATGTGAGTACATAAGAATTGTTCTCGTGTTGCTCCTTTCTAGACCTAAGCCTATCCATAAGCTACCAAAATTTTCCATCCTAAAGCATCTAGGATCCGAGAGCCTCAATCTAGGCAGGCCCGTCGGTTAGGTATAGATAGCATAAGAAATATTAATTCGGAAGAAATTATAAATTCAAATTTAGATTGTAGTTCTTCTAATTTAATTAATTTAGTTAATATGTCTCACGATCCGGATATCATATTTAAGGCCCTCCGCCTTGTCCCGGAGTTCGACGGAAACCCAAATGTTTTAACTAGATTTATCCAAATTTGTGACCATTTAGCGATCCAATATCTAAGCGACTTACCAGGTAGTGAATTTTCTAACATTTGCCTATTAAATGGAATTTTAAATAAAATAACAGGAACAACAGCAAGCAAAATTAATTCAAACGGAATACCCGACAGTTGGTTAGGAATTAAAACACTTTTAATTAATAGCTTTTCCGATCAAAGGGATGAAACCGCCCTATACAATGATCTCTCCTTAGCCACACAGGGTAATAGAAGCCCTCAAGAATTCTATGACCATTGTCAAAATTTGCTTAGCACGTTAATGACGTACGTTACGCTGCATGAGACATCATCCACCACTATCGAAGCAAAACGCAATCTGTATAAAAAAGTAACTATGCAGGCCTATTTTCGTGGTCTTAAGGAACCATTAGGGTCCCGCATTCGTTGTATCGGACCACTAACAATAGAAAAAGCTCTTGAATATCTACGGAAAAGAGTGTATTTTAAATTTAGAATTAAGAGAATATTATAATATAATCCAACCAGCTTCTTATTATGCTAATAAGCAAATAGTTTTTATATTCCGATTTCCTATTATTTCTAAGGATAATTTTTTATTATATAGATTAGCAGTAGTACCTAATAAAAAATCGCAGGCTCTAATCCCATCCTCTCCTTTCATTGCAACTAACGAGAATTCATTCGTGTACATAGAGGCCGAATGCCCGAGACATAGCAGCTGGTATCTCTGTGAAATGGAACTCAATCATCAGATTCGTACAAATTCAGATTGTATCCACGAGCTAATTATTAAACAGATTTTGAAGGAATCTTGTCATTTAACTACAGTCAATCTTCTACGAGAATCAATGGAGAAGCTGGACGATATGCACTACCTTATATCGTTCCCCCGGCATCAAAAGATACAAATATCATGCGGTAAACAGGAATTCACTTCATTAAAAGGCAGCTACCTAATAACTATTCCCCTAGGATGCAAAATCATATCCGAAGAATTTACGTTAATTAATGACAACAACGAAGTAAGAGGACAGCCCTTAAAATTGATGAAAATACCCGATGAAATTGCGCACCTAGATACAACTATTAATATATCATCTATAAATATCCAAGGACTCCATAGACTTAAGGACAAAATTATGATACAATCACCGCTACAAATTGAACGCGAAAAGGATATTACAGTATATCATACAACCATACCAGTATACGCCATATTATTCAGTGCAGGTGCACTTATGATTTTATTACACTATAGAAAGTAGGGTAAGGTTGCTTAAGTCGTAACCCCTAAGGAAATAATACTGTTATATTCAGCGCAATTGATATAAAACAAAATCTTCTGCATGTATTGAATATTTATTTAGTTGCCTTTTAATCAACAATAATAAAACCTGAAAAATCTTTTATCAAAATAGATATTTTAACGTTTTTCAAAAACATACCTTCGGTACGATTAAGGCACCTAGTTGCCTAATTCGTACCACCTATAGCCTAAGTCGTACTTAGAACATATACTTTAATAAACTATACAGAAATATACTTAATAACCAGAGATCACAATGAACAGCTACATTGTTATGAGTACACATAATGACCAGTAAATTCATTTTAATTTACTAAGTTATGATAGCTCAGCGAGTTCGGCTACAGTTTAAATGTTACGTACTATGCGACACGAGTTCAAATCCCACGCGCGGCTTACTTTTCTTGATTTTGTTAATTTTTAGCTATTGTGTCGGTAAGTGTCTTTTTACTATAGGAATGACATGAGATAGATGATTGCGGTATAAGGAGCGAGCCGTGATGAACGTGTGCTCGGTGTCCACATCCTTAAGATTAAGTTTATGCAATTTGTGATCGTTTTGAAGATCGTAGTAAGAAATATTTATTTCGTTAAATTTAATTCATTGCCGTAACGAAATACGAAGTATATAAGTAATATACCTTGGGAATAATTGTGCACAAAAGGGGTAAGTGTATCATATAAGTTCATTTGACCGTTAGGCACAGCATGATGCAATATTATCATATTATGTCTCAATATGTGTATTTTCTATTTGTAGCCTAACGTAACGCCCTTAAGGTGCTGGAATACAATCCCAATAAGAATCCCTGTAAACTGGGATAGCCGTGGCTAGGTTTTGGCAGAGTTCCACGCAAAGGCTGTGATCAGCTGTGCAGCCCCAAAAAACTCTCCTGGCGCCCTTCATATTCTTTAGATCTAAGTAGCATTATTATAATTTGTAAATAGCTAGGTTAAGTATTACTTGTAGTTAGTTTTATTAGTACCTATTAGTAAATTGTTATTTGTGTAGCCTTAGAATCTAATATAGTGTTGTAAATTTGTACATTCTTTTATTTTAATAAGGGAACCCATAACAAAATGGCGCCCAACGATAAAATTTATGGGTTAATAACACTTATTTAAACAAATTGCATTGGACCTCGTCACTATTACCTATATAATGATACGCATGTTTTGTCCACCCTCATTTTGTAAAATATGTTTCTTTGTTAATTAGGATATTTAGAATGGAATTTTTGTTTGTAATATTTTATGTTCATATTATGTGTAACTTTAATTAGGTAAGTAGTTAAAGCATTATTTGAATATTAGAGAAAATTTTATGTATATGTTTTTTTCCTTTTTTCGATATTCCTTATATGTTACTATTTTATTAGAAGGTTAGTGTAATATGTTATTTTTTTTTGTAATAATTTGTAGTGATAGAACTAGGACACATTTTCTCATATAGTTACTCCTAGTAATATTTTTTTGTTATTTTTGTATTAGATTAGTACCAAGCTCATATAGTAAGTAATTATTTTTTAAATCTTACATACATTTTTGTTAGCACAGGTTTTATAGTAGGTAAGAAACATTAAGAAGACAACCCAAATTATTTCTTTTATATTTTGATGAGAAATCTTAATTTATAGGATATAAGGTTGAAATATTTTAATATTTTTATACTATGAAATAGTAAAATTAGTGTTGGTTATAAAATTTTGGATTTTAGTACTTATATTAATTTGTTGGTTGATTGTTTAATTTATATTTATTTATTTTTACATATCATCTTACAATTTTGGTGCACAATTTCTCTCAGGGCATATTAGTGTTGATTTGTTTTGTAGGTTTACCGTTTTAAGATGGATCCACAGTTTTTATTAAAAGATGAGGTGGAATTTGAACTCGCATGTCGTGGGTTCACTAAACCAGGGAGCTTAGTTTCTGCACTAAAGAAAATTCTTAAAAAGATGATGCACGCTGAAAATTTATTGCAAGTTTCTTATGAAATTAAGCCTCCACCGTCATGTTTAGCTACTCCTAGTATAGAATTAGGTATATGTTCAGATAAAATTAGTAATATCTTGTGTTATATCTCCGAATTGCAGGAAAAACCTGACAAACAACTTTACAAACGCTTAGTGTCACGCTTGGTTCATATAGTAAATAGATTAAAATTTATTGCGCCTATTGAAGAAATTGATAGGGAAAAAAAGAAAGCTCTCTTAGACAAAGCCATTATATTGTTGAAGGACCTAGAAGATAAAGATGACATAGAGGATGGTGACAATATAACTCCGGAAATGAAAGAGGCATTACAGAATTCCTTAGGTGAAGATAGCAAAATAATTTTAAATGAAATTGCAGAGGATGCCCCTTCGTCAGGTAATGTTCCTTCTACTTCTAAAGATAATACAGTAGGGGAGGATTTCTTATTGCAGAAGCAAAATTTTGGTCATAAAAGAGTTAGTTTTGCACAGGATGAATTAGATATTCAAACTTTTCCCAGTCCTAATCATTTTAATAAATTATTAAATTCTACATCAGCTGATGAAGGTAATTATACTCGCAAATTAAAACTAGTTCCAATAAGTCAATGGGGTGTACAATTTTCTGGGGATAATAGTTTCAGTGTTAATGCTTTTCTTGAGCGTGTAGATGAACTTAAGGACGCGAGAAATGCTACTGATGATGATTTATGGAGGCATGCTATAGATTTCTTTAGAGGTGATGCATTAATTTGGTTTCGCGCAAATCGCCAGAATGTTGATAATTGGAATGAACTTGTAATACTACTAAAACGTACATTTCAGTCTCCTTATTACCAGGAAGAATTACTGCTGGAGGCTAAATCTAGGACCCA